ATGAGTCTCTCCTGTCCAACCCAAGTGTCTGAGGGCACTTGGAACCCAGGCTAGGTGACAACTTGAGGGGAAGAGCTCCCCCTTGTCACAACACCCCACTGTGGTCTTTTCCTTAGCAGCTGCTCTGACAGCTGCCATCCCTTTACTCTCTGGGCTGGGAAGCTCTGCGGTCCTGCCCTTGTTGCCCACTTTTCCTGGCTTCTTCCCTGCTCCTCAAGGAGGGGTGCAGAGGTGTGCACCTGCTGACCGACCATCCCGCACCCAAGCTGCTCAGAGCCCTCACAGAGGTGAGGGCCAGGGCCTGCAGACTCTGTCCCAGAGGGCTTCCGTAAGCAGTTCTTACTTCTAGGGCATAAGGGCACCCTTCACAGGGAATGAAAGAGCAACTCCCAGACCCCAGCACATTCCTAGGCGATGGCTGCTGGGAAGATAATACTTCAGTTCCACTGAACTCATTCTGGGTTATTGCAATTCAGCTGAGCAAGCATCTATTGCATAATTTCTGTTTGCCAGGACAGAACAGATGTGACCTCTGCCCTCAAGGGTGTCCAATCCAGTGAGGGACATGGGAGATGGACACTTGGAATAGCAAGCCCAGGTCCACCAAATACTTGATGCCAGGTGTTTTTAGAATCCAGGAGTTTCTATATATTAGAAAGGTCATGGGGCTTGGGGCAAAATCCCATACTCAAACAAATGCACTTCTATATTCAAATACTCACATATTAAAAAGAGCTTCACATCTGTCCTTCTAGATCAGATTTTGCCACTGAATGAGTTTGAAAATCATTCAGTTTCAGAACTTTTTTGATTTTGTTGTTTGGAATAAGGGATTGTGTCTTCTATAAGAATTTATTTTTAGGAGAAAATTCTCTGTTGAAACCCAATATAATGAGCTAGCTTAGGCCAGAAACTGGCCAGGAATTCAGAGAACAAGGAAAGTGACTCAGAGGGACACTGTAACTTGAGGAGAGTATGGAAAGGTGCCTCCTTGCCTGGGGCAAGGTCTGAGCTGGGCGCTGGGGAATAGGGAGGAGTTTGCCAGGCAGAAAGGCAAGGACAGGCCTAGGCCAGGATGGTCTGGGTGCTAAGGGACTCCTTCTCAGAAAAGTATTTTAAGTGAAGAAAACAAAATAGATAGGATAATCAACAAAATGAAGTATATGGAGAGAGTTAAAATATTTTAACAGTGATATATTAAAATGTGTGCTTTTTTATTAGTATATTGAATATCCAAACCTAGTATCAGTTCTAACTACGAGTATAATTTTGAATTACTTTTGAAAATACATTATATTTCAAAATACCTACAACATTGTAATATGATATGAAAACACTGTGCTCTCTGTCGGTGACAAAGACACAGGTGCTTTGCCTAAATTCAACATTGAAGGGAATGTTAAATTTCAGTCAGGAGTTAGAGAAAACAGTGTTATTTTTTACCCTCACCAAATGTTCACAGTCCACTGTATTTTACCCCCAGGTCTCAGGAAGCAGGTTAAGAAGTCCTGACCTAGTCAGAAAGAAATAGTTGGCAATAGGCTCAGGCAGGAAAATAGAGAGTAAGCTCTAAAGGGAACTCTGTGAAGAGGGGAGGTGCTGTGGTAGAAAGAGTTTGTAGGGTGGCATCTTGAGGAGGTCACATCCATTTAGATTTTACTTGCTCATCAAAAATGTTTTATGACATTTTATTTTTTATAATGACATATTATAAAAAGAATACATGCTCGTTATAGACAGTAAAGAAAAATATGGAAGAACATCATTGTGTTCCAGTGGCCAAGACAATCTCTGTTAACATCCGCATTACTCACTATTAACCAATGAGGGCTAAGTGGCACAGTGGTTAGGAACTAACCCTGAAGTCAGGGTTGAGTGTTTGAATCCTGCCTCTGCTCTTTCACTTTTCTGTCCCACTGTCTCATTTGTGAAATGAAGGTGACAGTAATAGTACCTATCTCATCAGGTTGTTTTGAGAAATAAGTCAATTCACATGAAGTGCTTAGGATGGGTCATAATTAGCACTTAACAAATGGGGGCTTTTATAACATCTTCTTCCAGTCATTTCTCAGTGCATAACTATTTTCTATATTAGCTTAGCTGTAGCCTTCATATAGATATACATATAATTTTATACTTTGCTTCTTTCCCTTAATTTTATTACAGAAATATCTAAGTTCTATTATAAACTGTGTTTAAGTATGTGACCTAAGCTTTAGATAACTATTCTGTATGACTAGACATTTAGTTTATTTCCAGTTTCCTATGGAAGGTGTTGGACAGGCTTCCATGTGGTTCAACGACCATTGACTGAGCACCTTACTCTGAGGCAGGCCCTGTTCTATGCATGGAGCATGCAGATGTAAACATGGCAAGCTTTCTGCCCATCAGGAGCACACTGATCCATGTTTTAGGATTATACTGTGCCTCACAGTTTGTAGAATGGATTGAAAATGAAGAATCCTGGAGACAGACACCTGTTAGGAGACAGGTAGTAAATGGGACTGACCTGTAACAGTGACAGTGGGAGTGGGAAGGAAGGAATGGCCAGGCATGAAGGTCGAATGGCCAAGACCTGGTCCCTGACAGGTGTAGCAAGTGAATAGATTTGGTAAGCAAAGTCCAGGCAGTCAAGAGTGACTGCAGTTTTGATTTTGAGGAGCTAAGGGGAAGAAGTGCAGTGGTTAAGCACTTATGGTGCCAGATGGATCTCCAAGTTCAAGTCCAGCTCTACATATTATCTATGTGATGTTGACAAGTTACTAAAATTTTGTAAGCCTCAGTTTCCTCATCTGTAAAGTGGTGATAACAGTGAATCTTCTTCCTAAAAGTAAAGGTCAAATCAGATAATGTATGGAAGATCAAATCAGATCATGTATGGAAGGTACAGTAGGTAGCAAATACGATATAGTGGGCACAATATAAAGAGGTGTGGGGCATATCAGTACCACTTTAGGCACTTTGTAGGTACTAACTCATTTAATTCTCACAATAAGCCTGCAAGAGAGGTGCTGCCAGTGTTTCAGTTTGAGAGATAAGAAAGCAGGCCCAGAGATATTCAGTAACTTGCTCAAGGTCTCCCAGCTAATAGGTGACAAAACCAAGACTCAAACCCAGACAATCTTGTATCAGAGTACATGCCCTGAGTGACTGTGTTTCTGCCTCCCTCCTGTGGGTATAATGAGTGAGTGACTTTCCTCTACTGACATCAGGAGGGGGTTGGAACTTGATTATGTAACCCAGGAAGGACATGGTCAGAGTGTAGGATCACCTAGGCAGAGATAAAGGTGGAAGCTGCAGGCAAGGATGAGATTGCTTAGGGAGAGTGAGACATGGATAAAATATGAATTTAGCAGGTGGCTGAAGGAACAGGAGCTGGCAGAGAAAATGAAAAAGTGATGAGAAGAGTGGACGAAAATGAGGAATGGAAGGAGTTATAAATGTGTAAAGCACAACTGCATCAAATGTGTCGAATCACAGCAAAGAGAGCAGGATGAGAGCTGAGAAGAGGGCACTGGGTGACCTTGGAAAAGCAGATGTAGTAAGGCAAGATAGAGTGGGGACCTCAACTGTGTGGGGCTATGAAGAGAAGGACAGGCACAGGAGGTGACTGAGAGAGAGTAGAATGAACACTGGGTGGGTTCCACAGACCTGAACTCCAATGCTGGCCCTGACCTTGACTGGGTGTGTGACTTTAGGGGAGTCACTGAACATCTCTAGGAACTGAGACCACCCCTGAGGCTGTGACAGGGACCTGATGGCTGATGATCTTAGGCATCCAGCAGGCATGAGGATGATGAGATAACTTACATGGAAGTAGCTTGAACTTTTAAGTGCATTCTTCAAAGTTACAGCCTGGTCACACCTGTGGGGATGGTTCTGACACTTAGCACTGACAGATCTCCCTCCCTCAGGTACTACTGTCCCCAGCCTCTTGGTCAGCTGACATCTGTGATATTGCAGGACACCTGCTTGAGCTGCAGAATGAGAGCAGAACTTGCAAATCTATCCTTCAGATGGGATTTGAACCCTGTGCTCCACCTCACCACCTACGCCCATTTAAGGTCATCACTTGTCTGTGTGGCCTTCAGTTAGGACTCTACCAGGTGTGGCTTTGTAGCTGACTCAACAAGGAACAACCCTGGACTTTCCCTTTAACTCAGTTTACTGGCTTGGGAAATGGCTCTGCCTGACTTTGATGTGAGCCAGAGGAAAATGTGCCCAGGATCAAAGTTTTTGAGTTTTGAGGAGAAGGATGTCTTACAAGGAAACTCAGTGCATGCTCTGAGGGGTGGCTCCTTTGTTCTAATGTCACTGTGTGTGTCCTGAGCTTTAGCTCATGTTTTCTCTCCATCTAATTTCTCATTTGTCTCCACTGAGGGGAGGAGTCCTCAGTGTGTAGCAGTTTATCCTCAATAGACTTAGACTCTGCCTCTTCTGACTGCCTGTCCCATCCATCCATCCATCCATCCATCCACTCACTCCATGAATATGAACTAGGCACTTACTAGGGCCAGAAAATGTGATGAGCACCAGGAAAGGGAAAGAGGGGACTGGGAGAAAGTATGGCTCAGCTCCTGCCCTTGAGGGGTTTGAAGTCTAATAAGAGCAGAAAGAAAGCTAAATGACAACCCACTGCAGGCAAGCAGGAAGGAATCTGCAGTTTCGCCATAAGCTTGCCTTCAGTGGCAGCCTAGGTGATTTATATACCCTGCTGTTTGTGGCCATATGTTGTCACAATCTGTGTCATTACCTCACTTAATACCTTCCATGAACTCCAATAAAACTGGCCTAGAGCTTCAGAGTCCAGGGGAGGGAAGGCATTGGATTTGGAAGTATGTGGGGGGTGGGTAGGGGGAACGGGCAGTGATGGGTGGAAAGGGAGAGGCAGTGGGATGAGGCTGGAGGCCTCAGAGGGTGGGGCCCAGGCAGGGCAGCTTGTCTACACCCGGCTGATGGGCACCTTCTTTCTTTTCTTCTTTCCCTGCTGCTGGCCACAGTGTGTCAGATCCTCCCCAAGGGGGTGGTCGCTGTCCTGGGACCATCCTCCAGCCCCGCCTCCAGCTCCATCATTAGCAACATCTGTGGGGAGAAGGAGGTGAGTGCTGGGCCAGGTGGGGGACTGTATACAGGCTGGCAGCCTGTGCCCCAAGATGGTGCAGACTGTTCAGGGCTGGAAGTGCCTAGTGTGTGTCACAAACAATGTGAGCAGAACTACAAATCAAAGGAAGAGTGAGAGTTGCTTAGAGAGAGTGAGACATGGATAAAATATGAATTTAGCAGGTGGCTGAAGGAACAGGAGCTGGCAGAGAAAATGAAAAAGTGATGAGAAGAGTGGACGAAAATGAGGAATGGAAGGAGTTATAAATGTGTAAAGTACAACTGCATCAAATGTGTCAAATCACAGCAAAGAGAGCAGGATGAGAGCTGAGACGAGGGCACTGGGTGACCTTGGAAAAGCAGATGTAGTAAGGCAAGAGTGGGGACCTCAACTGTGTGGGGCAATGAAGAGAAGGTACATGTCCTTTGTTGGACATGTACCTTTATTTTCCAGGTTGTTTGGATGTAGGGAACTCGGAGGAGAGCTTAGACAATAGGATTTTGAAGCTGACCTCTTTAGAGTCCCAGGGCTCTGTGGGGCTGGGGATCCTTGGTGGAGGTGAGCAGAGGGAGAAGCTGGGGATGGTGGTGGTCTGGGGGAGGCTGAGAGGGCAGAAGTCTGAACTCCTCATGACCTGGTCGGTGGCTATGTGTTTAGATGGTGGGATTCTGGGGAAGAAGGCATTGCTACATTTGACTTTTAAAATAGAATTTGAAAACCTTTGCTTGATAAGTTCTCTAGAAAGGAGGTTTTATTTTGCTTTCTTCCTTATTCATCAGTTCCAGGGCTAACTTATCGAATCAGTAAACTTCCTGAGGTACCTCCTCTAACTGGAATCTCTCTCCTTTCAAAGCGTTAAGTCCATTTCCTCTAGATCTAGTTCTGGTTCCATGAGAGATAAAGATTGCAGGGTGGGTTTCTGAGGGACAGCCTGCTCCCGAGTTCATCAACTCTTTCCCTCCTTTGCCCCCAGAGAAAACAAATGGAGAAAGTTCAGGGGTCTGTCTGTTGATGGGATCTTTCCCAGCCCTTTCTGGAATCAATCCCTTCTTCCCATTCAAATGTATTCCTGGGAGGCAGTGGTAAGGTGATGGCTTATCCTCTCTCTGCCCCCAAGGTTCTTCAGGAAGAGATAGAGCTTGGTGGTTTGGGGCATGAGGACAGGGTCTGGGGAGGGGAAGGGCAGAGGGCAGAGGAAGGGTCAATCTGTCCTCCAACTGTCCAGGGGCCTGGAGGTTCTGGTTCTTAGAAATAGGACAGGACACTTCTGCAGACAGGAGCCTCCTCAGCTAGCAGCCCCTGCAGAGGTGGTGGAGTAGCAGGCAGGCCTCTGCTTACCCCAGGCCCTCTGGACCCTATTTCCTTTGATGCCACTTTTTCTCTTATGGTCAGAAGGTTGAGCAAGTCTTTGAGGCTTTGGGCAAAATATTTATCTTCCCTATTTCATGAGCCTGCCCTCAGAATTGTCACACACCCACCACTATGCCACGTGGCCAGAGCTTCAGTCCCAGGGTTGAACTTGCTATCCAAGTGCCAGGAGCTGCCCTGTAGGCTGGGCCCTGGAGCCTTGCAGAAGCCAAGTCCATGTGGACCACTCCATCCCTCATCCCCTCAGCTGTCCTGAGAGATGACTCCTGAGTCAGCCCAGGCCAAACAAGGAGCTTCTGTTTCACTGCAGCCCTTTCCAGCATCTCCCAGTCCTTGGGCCCAGGAAGTTGAGTCTGAAGATTAATCTGAATCTTCTCGCCAGCCTTCCAGTGACAGCACCAGCTTGTGGCGGGCTGATTTCCAGCGATCACTGTGATCTTCACATGTGAGATTGCCAAGACTTCAGCTCCCCATTTTCTCTTCACTGTTCTCACCCTTCCTTTTCTTCTTTTCTCCTCTCTCCCTCCTCCCCATCATGTTATCCTCACTGTCCCATATAGTCATCCCCCCGACTCCCACTCCAGAATGGCTTCCTCTTGGGGTTCAGTGGGTATTTTATCTCAGTTAGCACGTTGCTGACCCCATCTGACATTTTAGACAGGAGGTGGAGGCTCTTGCTTGCCACCATGTTCCTCGTCTTGCTACCAGCTATGTCCCTGTGTTGTGGATTGGCCAGACAAGTACTCCTCCTTTGTCTGGTCATGTTTTTTCCAGAGCAACCTTTGCTCTCCATTAAGATTATGCATTTCTTTTAATATTATATGAGGCTGAATTGCCTTACACCGGTTCCCCTCAGCTCCAAGGGAAAGAAATGGAGCTTTCACCAAGGAGTTCATTTTCTTAAGTGCTGCTAATATTTCCAGAGCCCTGTGACAGCCTTGTTCTGCCTTGCTGCCCTCCCCTCTGTTATGCTCCCTCTCCTTCTCCTACACATCTCTGTAAGGGTTCCCTGAGCTTCATTTGCAATTGCAAATCAATAATGGATGCTTCTGGTCCTGGGCCATGTCTGTCTGGCTCCATAGAGGAGCTGGCTGCTTCCCCAGAAGCCCTCAGAATGGCAGGCTCTGCTGAATTCTCCCACCCCTGTCCCCTCAGGGGGAGCCTCTCACCCTCTTTCCCTCCTGCACAGACAGCCCCAAGAGCTTTTCTGGGAGTTCCTGCATTTTGGGAGAGAGGGGAAAGAGGAGGAGAGAAGACATTGCCCAAGTATTACATGTCAGGTACTGAGCTATTCTGCCCTTCACACAGGAAGAAACAGAGCGTTGTTTTATCATTCCAGTGCTCCAAGAAGCACCTGTTGTCATCTCTCTGCATTAGTGAGGCTAGATAGGTTAAGTAATTTGCCCCAAATCACACAGCAGAGCTGGATGCACACCCAATTTTCAGACCCCAGTCTTTTTCCTGATTCAGCTGTTAAGATCCAGAGATTGAAGTGTGTTTCTAGGGACACATTTGGCTGAAGGCTGATTTAGCTGCTGGTGGGACCCTGTGGGCGGGATGTCCATGTAGGGAGGGCCTTGGTCAAAGATGCTCAAACCTGTGAGTCACCGGGTCTGGCCTCTGGCCCTGCCCAGATTTTGCTTCCATCTTGCCCGTTCGTATTTTTTCAAGGTTCATTCATTTTAGACAGGTCATATGGGATGCAAAATACAAGCTGTGAAGAAAGGTTCTTTATGACATACCCCTTTATGACACAACTTCATTCTTTAGAGTCTTATCTCATAACTTAGTAGATTCTCCCTGAATCTATACTTTTCAGTCTCTGCTGGAAATATTGGTTGCCCTCTCTGTATGGTTCAAGGGCTAATCCTAGTTTCTCCCTAGTTTCTGCATTAGCCCCTCACCCAAACTCAGAGGAGATCTGGTCTCTGGCTGACTTCTCTCAGAAGCTTAAACAATAAGTAGCAGACTCCTACAGAGACCACCTCAACATCATCTGAGACTCTGGGCCAGCCTGGACAAAGAAAATTTCTGCAATCGTTTCTTAATAACCCATTCTAGGAGCCAATCAACTCACCATCAGGAAGTTCTTCCTGCTGTTTATCCCCAATCTTACTTGCTTTAACCTCAGTACAAACCCATGCTTGCTATAATTTAGCTCTCCCACAGGGCACTGGTCCAAAGGGGGAATGAAGGTTGAGGTTTCAGCCCCATCTCCCATGGAGGCACCACACAGCCTTCAACTCGCTCAGCTCTGAGTACCAGGGATGAGGAAGACAGAATAAAATCAAGGTGGATGGCAGCTTATTACATTTTAACTGCCCTATTACTTACCCAATAGTGTAAGCTACCAATAAAGCCACCACCAGAGCCTGTTAATATCCTTTCCCAGGAGAAGAGGCAGAAGGCAGGAGCAACGGCTCTTGCAAATGTCAGTAATAGGTGCAGCGGAATGCTGACACCATCGTAACAAGGCCAAAGCAGGTCTTTATTTACCTGGCTTCATTTGGAGGCTCTCTAGATCAGTTCTCAGCCTGCGAGGCTTCTTTCCCCATGTGCACATTTACAGAGGGACTCATCACAGGCTTTCACCCAGGAAGCTCGTGGGAGCTGGTTGATAGCCCTGTTGTCTCAGCTGGGCTGATGGCCTCTTCTCTTAGTCCCCAAGGCAGTGTTTTTCTCCTTCTGCCGCCTCTGCTCTGATATATTAACTACAGATAAAATATTAGAAGGATTATGCCTTCAAGAGCCATTTGTCTAGCTGCTCAGCAGTGGGCAGTTTTTCTGAAAATAAAGAGCTCTTCTTTCGCCTACCTCGAAGGGCTACAGACCCTGCTCCATGTGCACAGCACATCAGCACAGGCCTCCTTCTAAAGGGCTCCTGTCCTGGGTCTTCCTGTCTTGTGCTGTCGGAGGGTCATCCTGGCTTCTCCTGTGGAGTGGGTGTCCTGACTCCTGCAAGCTGTTTCCCACTAGTGGGCGGCAATTCCCCCTCCACAGCCTTATCTAACTTTTCTCTCTCTCTCTTTCTTTTTCTGGGTCCTCTCTGCTGCTCATTTTTGCTCCTCCTCCCAGGTCCCCCATTTCAAAGTGGCCCCAGAGGAGTTTATCAAGCTCCAGTCCCAGAGATTTACAACCCTGAACCTCCACCCCAGCAACACCGACATCAGTGTGGCTGTAGCTGGGATCCTGAACTTTTTCAACTGCACCACCGCCTGCCTCATCTGTGCCAAAGCAGAATGTAAGTTTCCCCAGGCAGCCTCCAGCCCAGGCAGTTTGTACTTGTTGATTTAAACCTGATTGGACCCTGGCTGGAGACATTCCAGGGAGGGGAGGTCTCCCTTAGATCACAGGACTGATATCCAGAGGGCTCTGGCATTCCTATATATCCTTGGCTATTGTCTGTGTGTGCACCGGTGTGTGTATGCATGTGTGTGTGTGAGAGAGAGAGAGCAGTCCCTTTGACAGAATTCCCTAGACATGGGCAGAACAGAGAGAACTGGGTTACAAGAAGACTGGCCAACCTCCAAGCCTTTTTGCATCTGCAAACTCAATTCCCACATTTTCAGCCTCATTGTTAAGCAGCTACAGGGGGGAGGGTGGAATATAAATTGGATGCATTTGTACTTGATGGGTTGAAGAGCTTCTTGCCCTGGAGAGCAGATTTTGCTGATGAAACAAGGTCCAAGGTCAATTCCTGATAAAGCACTTTTTTGCAAATGCATGTTTTAGAAATGCATTTCTCTGACTCTCAGACAATTTGTGACATCAATTTAGTGCTTATGAGATGTAGCTAATTTAAACCAGCACTTTCCAGAAAAATCTGTGCACCTGTGTGCATCATGACAGCTGCACATCCACACACAGCCAGGCAGGAGCTGACCACTGGCTGTTAGTGAGTCCAGTGCCCGAACCCCAGCATCTGTGTCCTATGCAGCTCACCTGTGCAGGGCTGGCCCAGGAGTCCGGGTGGGCTGCACTGGAAGAGCTATGCCATTACCACCAGGGCTTCTTCAGTGACTACGTAGAACTGCTCTGCATGCTGGAGTTCTTCCTCCCTCCTGGAATCCCAACAACATCTATAAACAAATGCAGCCCCCTGCCAAGGGTCAGAACCACCTCTTTCACCATGCCTTTGCAACTGATGGCTTCCACATGTGCATTCATTCAGTCACTCAACACAGACTGATGATTTCCTTGATGCTACAAGAGAAATAAAGTTAACTGAGTTTCAGCTATGTGTACTTTCTATCCCCAATCCACAGACTTTGTTCAGATTTTACCCATTGTCCTCTGTAGTAATAGTTTTTCAGGGCCAGGTTCAACCCAAGACGTCCTATTACTTTTTAGTTGTCATGTCTCTTTAGTCTTCCTTCACCTGGGTCAATCTTAGTCTTGCCCTCTCATCTTTGACACTTGGAAGAGATGAGGCCAGTTATTCTGTACAATGTCCCTCAATTTGGGTTTGTCTGATACTTCATTAAATTCAGGTTATGTGTAGGTGGCAGGAATACCCCAGAAGTGATGCTGTATTTTTCTCATTGGTCCTGTGAGGTAGCAGGCAATTGTGACTTGTTCCCATATTGGTGATGTTAACTTTGATCACCAAGTCCTGGACATGTCCAATTTTCTCTACTGTAAAGTTACTATTTTCCCCTTTGTAATAAATAGCTAACCTGTGGGGAGATTATTGAGGTTATAGTACATTGATAGCTATTTCCTGAATCCAATGACTCTAATGATCACTAGATAGTGATTTTTACACTCTATTGTTCCTTCCACATTTATGCATTAACATTTTACTGTAAGGTTCTTTCCTGTTTGATTATTTATTTACTTCTGTCAATATGGATCCATGAATTCTGATTTTACTCAGTCGACTATAGTCCCTTACTGTCATTACTAATTTTGATGCTCAGATGGTCCCAGATCTGGCAGTGGGAGGCCCTTCCAGCTGGCTTTCGTGCCTGCCATTCTTTGAGCACATTCTCACTTCTGGCACACAATGGCCCAGGCTCGCACTCCCAGCCCCAGCCCTAGGTGCCACCACTTTGCTAAGGAGCCCTGGTTCTTCTTAGTGGGTCACGATATTAGAACTTGAGATCTGGAAACTAGGTGTGCTCATTGCCACTGTCCTTTCAGGGGAAAGACTAGGGAACTATCCATTTCCTGTCATTCTTGCTTTTCATCATTTTATATTTATAGCTCCTTTATCTCATCCTGAGAAGCCTGACTCCCAAGACAATCCATATATTTACTCCTTTATTTAATTCTACAATACAAATAAACTTGTTTCAGATTACTATACCCACACCATTGTTAACAATAAACCTACTAACCTATTAAGTCGTTTAAGTTTTTCTGCAGTTCTTTTGGTCATTTTATCTTCAGACTAAAAGAAGTGAAAGTACTATAGCTAAAAGTTACTCAAATTCTTCCTTTTCCATTTTTCTTTAATATTGTTGTTACCCATTTGGTATATAGTTAAGCTTATTTGTTTCTGTTTATGTCCAACTTGGAAGTAAAAAAAATCCTTGTTGACTTAACCTTTGGTATTTTAATTATGATGTGCCTTGGTGTGGGCCTCTCTGAGTTTATCTTGTTTGGGATTCTCTGTGCTTCATGGATTTGAGTGCTTGTTTTCTTCACCAGGTTGGGGAAGTTTTCAGCCACTGTTTTTTTAAATAGGTTCTCTCTTCTTGTCTCTGTCCTTCTGGGATCTCTGCGATGCAAATATTGGTGTGCTTGTTATCTCAGAGGCTCCTTACAGCATCTTTATTTTTTAAAAAAATTCCTTTTTCTTTTTGCTGTTTTGATTGGGTGTTTCTGCACCTTGTCTGCCCATCACTGATTAGATCCTCTGCTTCATCTAATCTGCTGTTCATGCCTATAATATATCTGTCATTTCCATTATTATATTCATTTCTGACTGATTCTTTTTTATGTTTTCTGTCTCCTTTTTTATGTTTCCTATGTCTTTGTTGAGATCATTGAGCATCCTTATAACCAGTGTTTTGAACTCTTTATCTGATAGATTGCTTGTTTCTGTTTATTAGTTATTTTTCTGGGTTTTTGTCTTGGTCTTTTGTTGGGGACAAATTTCTCTGTCTCTTCATTTTGGCTGTCTCTGTGTGTTTGTTTCTATGAGTTAGGCAAAAGAGTAACCTTTTCTGGTCTTCCAGGAGTGACCTTATATAGGAGCTCTTCCTTTGTAGACTGCGTGTGCTGGGTGTCCTTGGCAGGCCAGCTGGGGCTGAAGCATGCATGGGCCTCAGGAAGTCCTTGGCAGACCAGTCTTACCAAGTCCTGGGTAGCTAGAGTGGGAATGGTGCACGGGAAGTCCTGGGGGTAAGCTGCACTGAGACTACCTTGGCAGACTGGTTGGAGCTGTAGCTGCAGTGTGCTCATGCCTCTTGTAGTCCCAGTAGTTCCAGAAGCCAGCCATACCAGGACCTGGAGCAGAAGCTGGAAGGGGTGAGAGTGGTAAGGATTCCCAAAGGTAAGACTCTAGTGTTGTAGCTGAAGGAGCTGTGGTTGTAGGAAGTCCTGGGACAAGCCACACCTGGGCAGGAGCAGTGACTGGGCTGAGTGCCAGTTGAAGAGAGTCTGGAGTAAGTCATGAGGCTGGACACTGGAGTTAGAGCTAGGAAGTCTGGTTTCTGTGTTCGTTCTCATTCTCTCTCTTTCCCTCTGTCATTTGCTGCGTCCCTCAGTTCTTCTTCAAAGGCTCTGTCTATAGGTGTAAATTCCATGTGTTCTTGGGAGAAGATGAGTTCAGGGTTTCCTCTGCTGCTGTCTTGGACTGGAAGCTAATATGTGCTTTATATACAGCTTATTTATCACAACAACCCAAGGTATAGAGGTATTGGAATTCCCCATTTTAAAATTAAGTAAAATTGAAAATTCAGTTCCTCAGTCTTACCAGCCACATTTCAAGCACTCAATGGCCACAGGTGGACTGTACAGATATAGAACATCTCCACTGAAAGTTCTGTTGGACAATACTACTTTAGATAAATCAGTGTTTTATGAACACAAAATTGTATGGCCCTCCCCTCCAAAAGTCAGAAATGTTGGATAACACTTTGTGCTCCTTCCCCCTTGTAGAGACTCACAGCACACGTTAGCATGGACATTCTGACTTGTCCTGTACCACATCATCTTCCAAATTGTTTTGACCGTAAGCCCAAAAAGATGCTGAGCTGACTGCTCATAGGATGCTACCATTTGATGGAACATGGTTGGGAAACCTTGTGTCCCACCAGAGGGCCCTCCTCTTGTGGGATCCTTGCACCATTGAATAGTGTAATAGAATCAGGAATTCTCCCTTGGAAATGTCTGCCACAAGACCACTCAGGCAGAACCAAACTGGTGCACTCCATGTAGTGGGAATGCTGAGAGATGAGGAACAGGCTGTAAATATCTCCAGGCAAAGGTTGTCCTGTAGCTTTCCTCAGGGCTGGATACAATGTCTCATCAACCTAATAGGAAGTTCTTTCTGTGTCTAGCCACAGTCCCTCTTGCTATCAATCTGAACCCTGTTTCCTCTGCTTCAGCTCTTCCTGGGCTTTGGGAAGGGAGTTTTTCAATGTTTGTTAAGCATCTATTATGAACTGGGCACTATGCTAGATTCTGTTGCCTCCTGGCCCAGGGCCATTTCTATTGAAATAATGACATTCCTTGTCTTTCAATGTTCCTTGCTGATTGCAAAGCACTTTCACTTATGTTTTTCTATTTCACCTCCTCCAACCCCCAGTCATTCCAGAGTCAAGAAAGAATTATTAAGGGACTTGCTTAAGAGCACAAAGCTAGTGTGTGGCGATGTCAAGACAAACTTAGGTCCTCTGACTCTGAGCCAGGCCTGCCTCCTCCGCAACTTCTCCTACCCCTTGTCTGCACACAGCCTCAGAGCAGCAGCTCAGAGCAGACTCTGCCTGGCAGGCACAGTGTCCTTTGAAGGGCAGAGACCTCTCTAGAGCAGTGTGTCCCCTTGCTCCCTCAAGCAGGGTGCAGGATGGCAGAGCACATTACAGTCCTGGAGAGGATGAGCCTCCCTAGGTGATGGAAAAGTCAGCCCACAGCCGAAGGGCTCACCAGCCACAGGGGGCCACCTCTACTTGGAGAACTCCTCCATCCAAGCTTCTGCATCAATCTAGTCCCACCCACCAGGGCCCAGGGAGGGAAGGTGGGGCAGAGCAGAAGTTCAAGGGCAAAGAAGATTTAAAAATCTAATCAAAGGAT